TTATAAAATAAATAAATAGTGGGAATGTAATGTACAACATAGGGAATACAGTCAATAACATTGGAAAAATTTGTATGGTGACAGAGGATAACTAGACTGATCAGGGTGATCATCTAATAATCAAAATAATATTTAATTATCAAAATAATACAAAAATCTGAGTCACTACGCTATACACTTGCAACTAATATAATATTGTAAGTCAATCATACTTAAATTTTTAAAACTTTTTTCAATGAGACAACACAGATTTTTTTTAAGAAATGAATTGAAAAGCATCACCCTCATATATGTCTCAAGGTAATCACTGTGGATATTACTAACATCTGATGGCTAATGCTATGCTCTCAGAATAAGCAGGGCAGGTCTGCTCTGCAGGTCCCTGTGTGCTTGGCTCAGTGCCCCCTCCTCCTCTCCCTTTCTGTGTGGTCCTCAGCGGTTGCTCTGAGCCCACAGTACCTCTGCCACAAGCAGCCACTCCTCAGCCTCCTGGGTGGGGCAGAAGTGAGGGACACATGGAAGAAAAGGTTGGGAAATAAATGCAAAGACCACGCAGCCCTCCAGGAGTGAGTCCAGGCACAAAGCCCACTGTGGGATTCTGCTTACTTCCTGCTCATCAGTTGAGCTCCAAAGTGAAGATTTACACAAATATGTGCTTCCTACATTATCCACCTAAAGCAGAGACGACCAGCAAAAGTGGCCTTGGACAAAGGTCAGTAATTAGACAAGGCCAGGCCATTTCTAAGGTTCTCGGGAAGAGGACATAAACCCTGGTCACTCCGCCCCTCTCAGGGGAAGGGACTGGGTGAACCCACTCTGGTTCTCTGGGGTCACCCCACTTACACACCAGCAGGTGGAGACCTCACCTCTCCGAGAGAAGCCCTGATGACCTGGGGAGTGGTCTCCGTCTCTCTGGTCCAGGAAGAGTCTTCAGGCGCCTCCTCTCCACCCTGAGGGCCCTGGACAGGCAGAGACCTTTTCTCCCCACCCAAGGTCCCCATGGGTGTGCACACAGGGGCCAGGGTGCTGAGAACTCATTGGCTGTTCTGTTCTAATTAGGGGTGACCTGCACATGCTCCAGGTTGAACATTAGCCTGGTACTGGCTTCCCCAAGCATTATGATCACTCCTCAATTCTCACAGGACAGAGGTTTCACACCTTGAAATCCTAACCCCAGAATCCTCACCCTGGACTGGCATTGCCTGCCTCTTCCTACCGGTACTGCCAGGAGTGCCTGTGCTGTGGTTGGTCACAGCACCATCTGGAAACCATGGGTAACCCATGAGTCGTCCTGTCCACCAGAGGAATTAAAAGAGGGCAAGACATCACAAAGTAAATGTGTTCATGTTTTAGAGAATCCAGAGCTGAGTTTAGATCTTCCACTATCTAAAATTATCACCACTTAGGGATGGTAATGAGGGGAAGCTGGCTTCTTAAAAAGTTCCTGGTTCATCTGACCACAGCATGACGTTGTTGCTGGCATCAGTGAGAGGGTAACAGGCAGGAAGGCCAGGGGTCTCCAAATGGAGGGAAGAGGCTGCAAGTGCCAGACATTTTTATCTCTCTTAAGCGGCAGGAGGAAAAAAACCAGCGATATGTTTTTCCTTCTCTATACAAATTTAAAAGGAGGTTTCTCTTAAAATGCTGTGTTGCCATGACACCTGGTCTCACCTAAAGCTAACTACTCTCAAACCCTGAGTTAACCAATACATTTCTTTTTCTTATGGAAATGTTGTCTTAAGCTATGTTAATGTACCCCAGACTCTATCTTCAAGTTGGTTCCGCCAAATGGCCTAACTTACTTACTCAGGTATTGGTCCCCTAATCTATGTAAATGAAACTATTTGTTGGTATTCTGCCTTTCTACAAGATTCAAGTCAGTCATTTTATGGCCAGGGATGAATTATCTGGTGCCATTCTAAATTTTATGACATTCCTTTCTTTTCATTAACAGACTGTGAGTGACTATATAACATACAGCTAAAGACTAGGAGGGGGGTACTCTTTTGCCCTCTTCTGATGCCTATGTCAGAAGCTTTCTCTATCTCCTTTATACTTTAATAAAACTTTATTACACAAAAGCTCTGAGCGATCCAGCCTCGTCTCTGGCCCCAGATTGAATTCGTCTCCTCCAGAGGCCAAGAATCCTGGCGTCATATCATTCAGCAACAACCTTTCATCAACATCCTAGTCAAATCTGGCCCCCGAGGGACGTGGTCACCTAAAATCTACCCACAGTTAGGATCCCAAATCTGACTTCCTGCTCCAGGAATTTCTTAGCATCCTATTTATTATCCTTAAACAAAGCCACTGCACATGGTGATTGCAGCCATGAAATTGAAAGACGCTTATTCCTTGGAAGGAAAGTTATAACCAACCTAGATAGCATGTTAAAAAGCAGAGACATTACTTTGCCAACAAAGGTCCGTCTAGTCAAGGCTATGGTTTTCCAGTGGTCATGTATGGGTGTGAGAGTTGGACTGTGAAGAAAGCTGAGCGCTGAAGAATTGATGCCTTTGAACTGTGGTGTTGGAGAAGACTCTTGAGAGTCCCTTGGACTGCAAGGAAATCCAACCAGTCCATCCTGAAGGAGATGAGTCCTGGGTGTTCATTGGAAGAACTGATGCTGAAGTTGAAATTCCAATACTTTGGTCAACTGATGTGAAGAGCTGACTCATTGGAAAAGACCCTGATGCTGGGAGGGATTGGGGACAGGAGGAGAAGGGGACAACAGAGGATGAGATGGCTGGATGGCATCACCGACTCAATGGACATGAATTTGGGTAAACTCCGGGAGTTGGTGATGGACAGGGAGGCCTGGCGTGCTGCGATTCATGGGGTTGCAAAGAGTCAGACAGGACTGAGCAACTGAACTGAACTGAAACAAAGTTCATGATGCATGTGTCGAGACCCTGAAGACAAAGCTCTCAATACAAGCCTTCCTGACCCTGGACAAGCTCTTAGTCATTGAGATGATCAGGCTTGTAAGTCAGAGTGCCTAAAATGGAACCACACTTTGTCTTTTAAGCTCCCTGTAACTACACGCAACCTATGTAATCACTTGGGTTCAGAGTCCTTTCTTCAGCATGGGGGTAACAGGACACCTACAACTTTGTTGAGTTAGCCAAAAGAATAAAAATGTTATTACACATAAAGTGCTCATAGCAGTTCCTGATACATAACTTATTTTGAGTACTTACTATTGCTATTGCTGCACTACTAATAGTACTGCGGCTGCCACCACCAGTACTACTCAGGACGACCCCTTGTTACTACCACTAGTACTTGTAGCACTACTACTGAGATGAGCCCCCACATTTACCAGGTCCTCGACTCCCCACTTCTCTGCCATGACCGCCCAACAACCAGCCTCCTGAAAGAGGGGCCTGGGCTCTACCAGTTGCACCTTATGCAGCCCGCAGGCCTGGCCTTCCTGGATCCCCAGCAGGAAGTGTTACTGTGGCTAGAAAACTGTGAAATCAACAGTCCACCCCACCCTTCACAAAGCAGTACAATATCTCAGTGGTCAGTGCCCTCTCTAAGGAGGCACTCTGCCCCACACACCTGTCCACCCTCTGGCACAATGGCCAATCCTCTTCTGACATCAGTGAGAACTCCATCCCCCAGGACCACCCAGTCCGCTGAGAGCTGACAGATCCTTTGTCTCTCCAGTTGAGTGGGGTGGACTTCACCTGCCCAGCTGCCCACTGCCCGCAGTGCCCTTCAGTACAGCACAGCCTTTAAACAAGAGCCACGCTGCCCACCTGTGAACCACCTGGCCCACCCACCTCACCCCAACACAATGGACTGATGACAGCTCACACCTCCTCCACCTAAAACACCCCTTTCACAGCAACTGCATCTTCCATCCCTCCTGCTGTCACACATTCACAGGCCACCCGTGTCCCTAAGGAAGTGCTAAGGGGCCACGGAGAGCACGAGCCACCCAGGGGGGGCTGCAGCAGACCTCCAGCAGGCTCAGCCAGAACGGGGGGCTGACGGCACTCTGTCCCCAGGTGGACTGTGTCACTCGGGGGATCTTGACCCAGTATCTTCAGGGTCATGGAGGTCACTGACCTCACAGCTTTCTGTCTCTGGTTTGCCCTGCACTTCCCCTCCTACACCCTCTGCCAATGCCTGGCTACCAGGATCCCCCTTCAACCAGGAATCTGCTCCCACAACCAGGGAAAGAAACCAGCATAGAGGGTGCATGAATTCATGGTGAAGCTGGAGCTCCTCCCCATGGGGTTTCTGGCCTGGGTGACCTGGCCCACGGGGAGGGTGCAGCTCAAGGAAGGGTGAGATCTTGGAGCTCTGGCAGCTCCTGCCCAGATGCAGGGCCGAGACTTCTGTTCCACAAGAACAGAAGAAGCGAGGACCCCTTTTTAGGAAATCATTTATCAGATGTGACCTGGGCAAGGTAACAATTACTTGCTGGAGCACCTATAAAATGCCTTATGTTACTGGGCTCTGATCCAAATTTACTTCCTCCAAACCAGGAGGCTCATATTCCTTGAGATTGTAGAATATTTTTCTCAAGGATCACTTTCAGCATTTATATCAGGTACTGAGCACTAAAAATGTCCTGCTGCTGCTAAGTCACTTCAGTAGTGTCCGACTCTGTGCGACCCCATAGACGGCAGCCCACCAGGCTCCGCCGTCCCTGGGATTCTCCAGGCAAGAACACTGGAGTGGGTTGCCATTTCCTTCTCCAGAAATGTCCTAATATGGTATTAAATGTCTTATCTTGTTGGTGCCATCCTTTCCCATAAGCTGTTATGGGAAAACCTGAAGGAAATTTTGGCCAACTTAGTACTAATCCCCTGGAGACTCAGCCCTTTAAGCATCTGTCCATCCTAAAAATAAACACAACCACTAAGCTACATCATGATGAGATTTATCCTGTGACAAACTGCTGTCCTCTCTCCCTACCATCACATCCATCTCAGTACTGATCTGCATACACTGAGAAGCAACGAACAGTATGTAAAAATTTTTACCTCAAGAAACGTAAATATTCCCAAAACTAGACAGGATTTCCAGTAACACTTTACGATTGCTTTCATTAAAGAAGGCTCCCATTTGTGTGTCTTGGCTCTCAAAACTTCCTGATCCCCGTACCTGCGATGAGAAACAGAGCACAGTGAAGAACAGCATGTCCACCACAGGGAAACAGGGAGGGACGGAGTGGGAGATGGGCCTTCACTACAGGGTGCTCTGTGGGGCCCCATGGATGCTGGCGAACTGCACTCAGGGCTCCTGAAAGATGAGCGGTACAGACCCTGAAGCACAAGAATAAAAGGCTTTGAGGGGAAAAGTCCCAATTCTAGAAACAAGTTCCTTCCAAACTTTGCTGGACTCACAGTTCATGAGCCGCTCAGGGGGGCAGACTCCCTCTACCAGGGACCCCACCTCCAGGGACAGAGCTTGGCCTCCAGGGCCGTGGCTGTGGGCTCCCTCCACATCGACAGATGCACAGGGAACATGGGCTCCCCCAGCCTCCAAAGTGGGCTAAGCCTGGGGTCAGCCTGAGAGGGTATGCATGCAGAGTCAGGGGAGGAGGCTCAGAAGAACCCAGAGGAAGCAAAGCCTCCCCCACACCTCTAGCCCCACGTGGAAATTCTCACTCTCCCTCTCCATCTCCCTGCTGCCTGTGCTCACCCTTGCAGCTCTTCTCCAAGGTGCTAGGAGCAATCTTCCGGAAGCACCAAGTACTTGTCATCTTGTGTTAATTTCTGTTCGTGACCAATTTTAAACAAGGGGTTTAGCCACCTGCTAAAAATTAAAAGGACAGTGACATATATCCAAATTCTCTCTGCTCTGCTCAGATGCTCAACTGTACATCCAAATTACACATCTCTAATTATAATCCTACATTTATGGGCTTTGTTAAATAAAAACAAAAAACTACATTTTAAATATATAGAGTACAGGGGAATAATTAGATGTGTGTTTACACATTCACTCACATACATACACACAGTTCCTAACTCTGTACTCTGAGAGGCCCTGGAGGCAATGACACACTGGTAGCATTCTAGCCCCCTGATCTTGGGGTTTGGGGTAACACACACAATCACAATTCTTTTCTTGTTGTAAGAAATGTTAAGAGGGAGGAGCCAAGATGGTGGAGGAATAGGACGGGGAGACCACTTTCTCCCCTACAAATTCATCAAAAGAACAATTGAACACAGAGCAAACTTCACAAAACAACTTCGGATTGCTAGCAGAGGACATCAGGTGCCCAGAAAAGCAACCCATTGTCTTCAAAAGGATGTAGGACAAAATATAAAAGATAAAAAGAGAGACAAAAGAGCTAGGGATGGAGACCCATCCCGGGAAGGGAGTCTCAATAGAGGAAGTTTCCAATCACCAGGAAACCCTCGCACTGGCGGGTCTGGGGGAAGTTTTCAAATCTCGGGGGGCAACCTAACTGGGAGGAAAAATTAAATAAGGCCCACAGATTATGTGCCTAAAAGCAACTCCCAGCAGAAAAGTACCCCAGACGCCTGCATCCACCACCAGCAAGTGGGGGCGGGACGGAGAGGAGCGGGCGGCATTGCTTAGGGGAAGGACCGGGCCTGAGTGCCCTGAGAGCAATGGGAGGGAGCTTTTTTAAACTGTGGGATAGCAAGAGAGAAAATTAACTGGCCCGAACACACTGCCAGCTGTTCGCAAAACAAAGAGACTGAGAAACTCCAGAGAAGAGCTAGCCTGCGGGGGACCGGCCCATCCCTGGTGGAGGTAGGAGGCAGCGGGGAGGGGAAAGGGGCAAACTCGGCCCCAGAGACGGCATCCCCTCCCACACTGCAAACAGGTCTCCAGTTTCTATCCAAAGACTTCCTGAGATTCTGGATGGTCGACATCTGCCGCTGGGAAGGTCTCAGCTAGAGGCCAGCTCCTGAGAACAAACACAAGCCTCTGGCACCCTACCGGCGCGCACAGAAACTGAGGCTGGGGCTGCGGAGGAGAGAAGGCGCGCCGCACCCGGGGAGAGTGCACCCATCAAGCTCCTGGCTGCCTGAGCCGCTCAGGCCGGGGAAGGCACAAAACGCAGGCGCAACCGAGTCCGCACTTCTGTGGAGCCTGAGCTTTTGTGGAGTACCCGAAAACTGGAACCACACACAATGCAGGGCACGCTCCCTATAGAGCAGCCGGGAGCCTGAGCAGTGTAGATGGGGAAAGCACAGACACCCGTGAGCAGGGGCAAACCCAGTGTGGCCGCAACACGGTGAGTGCTCCCCACACACAGCGATATCTGTCTGCAGTGCCCCGCCCTCCCCGTAGCAGGACTGAGCTAGCAAACCTAAATAAGAGATCACCTCCACCCACCTGTGCCGAAGAGATGGCAAACAGAAGCCAAATAAACAAAGGGAACCACTTCAGAAAGGACCTGTGCAACAGATTAAAATCCCTCTAGGTAACACTGACTACACCGGAAGGAGCCTATAGATATTGAGAAGTGTAAGCTGGAATGAGGAGCTATCTGAAACTGAACTGAACCCACACTGACCGCAACAACTCCAGAGAAATTCCTAGATACATATTTTTTTTTTTAATTAAAAAAAAATTTTTTTTCTTTCCTTTTCTATTTTTTCTCTATTTTCTTTTAAAATTCCCTATTACTCCCCCATTACTCCTTAACTTTCATTTTCATATATTTTTATGACTTTTTAATTAGGGGAAAAAATTTGTTTTTATTTTTGTTTTTTTTTTCTTGTTTTTTCTTTTTCTTGTTTTTCTCTCTTATTTCCTTTTAAAGTCCTCTAATACTCTTCTATTATTCCTTAATTTTCATTTTACTATAACCTTGCAAAAAAAAAAAGAAGCCCTATTTTTAAACCGAACTTCATATATATTTCTAAATTTTTTGTGTTTTTGTTTTTAAATATTGTATTCTAAAGAGTCTAACCTCTATGCTAGATTTTTAATCTTTGTTTTTCAGTATGTGATATAAATTTTGGACATTTAAGAAGCCAATATTCAGTTCCCATTTCTTCTATTCAGGAGTGTGTTGATTACTCTCTCCCACTTTTGACTCTCTGTTTTCTACCTCAGAACACCTCTATTTACTCCTTTCTCCTTCTCTTCCCAATCCAATTCTGTGAATCTTTGTGGATATCTGGGCTACAGAGAACACTTTGGGAACAGATAACTGCGTAGATCTGTCTCTCTCCTCTTGAGTCCCCCTTTTACTCCACCTGCTCATCTCTATCTCCCTCCTCCCTCTCCTCTTTTTCATGTAACTCTGTGAACCTCTCTGGGTGTCCCTCATGGTGGAGAATCTTTTCACCATTAACCTAGAAGTTTTATTATCAGAGCTGTATAGTTGGAGAAGTCTTGAGACTACTGGAAAAATAAAACTGAAATCCAGAGGCAGGAGACTTAAGCCCAAAACCTGAGAACACCAGAAAACTCCTGACTACATGGAACATTAAGTAATAAGAGACCATCCAAAAGCCTCCATACCTACACTAAAACCAACCACCACCCAAGAGCCAATAAGCTCCAGAACAAGACATACCACACAAATTCTTTAGCAACGCAGGAACATAGACCTGAGTGTCAACATACAGGCTCTCCAAAGTCACAGCTAACACATAGACCCATCTCAAAACTCATTACTGGGCACTCCATTGAACTCCAGAGAGAAGAAATCCAATTCCACACACAAGAACACTGACGCAAGCTTCCCTAACCAGGAAATCTTGACAAACCAATCGTCCAACCCCACCCACTGGGTGAAACCTCCACAATAAAAACAAACCACAGACCACCAGAATACAGAAAGCCCACTCCAGACACAGCAATCTAAACAAGATGAAAAGGCAGAGAAATACCCAACAGGTAAAGGAACATGAAAAATGCCCACCAGGTCAAAGAAAAGAGGAAGAGATAGGGAATCTACCTGAAAAAGAATTTAGAATAATGATAATAAAAAATGATCCAAAATCTTGAAAGCAAAATGGAGTTACAGATAAATAGCCTGGAGATAAAGATTAAGAAGACGCAAGAAATGTTTAACAAGGACCTAGAAGAAATAAAAAAGAGTCAATTAAAAATGAATAATGCAATAAATGAGATCAAAAACACTCTGGAGGGAACCATGAGTAGAATAACGGAGACAGAAGATAGGATAAGTGAGGTAAAAGATAAAATAGTGGAAATAAATGAAGCAGAGAGGAAAAAAGAAAAGAGAATCAAAAGAAATGAGGACAACCTCAGGGACCTCTGGGACAACGTGAAACGCCCCAACATTCAAATCATAGGAGTCCCAGAAGAAGAAGACAAAAACAAAGGCCATGAGAAGATACTCGAGGAGATAATAGCTGAAAACTTCTCTAAAATGGGGAAGGAAATAGCCACCCAAGTCCAAGAAACCCAGAGAGTCCCAAACAGGATAAACCCAAGGCAAAACACCCCAAGACACATATTAATCAAATTAACAAAGATCAAACACAAAGAATATTAAAAGCAGCAAGGAAGAAACAACAAATAACACACAAAGGGATTCCCATGAGGATAACAGCTGATCTTTAAATAGAAACTCTTCAGGCCAGAAGGGAATGGCAGGACATACTTAAGAGTAATGAAAGAGAATAACCTACAACCTAGATTACTGTACCCAGCAAGGATCTCATTCAGATATGAAGAAGAACTCAAAAGCTTTACAGATAAGCAAAAGTGGTGCTGAGAGAATTCAGCACCACTAAACCAGCTCTTCAACAAATGCTAAAGGATCTTCTCTAGACAGGAAACACAGAAAGGTTATATAAACGTGAACCCAAAACAACAAAGTAAATGGCAACGGGACCATACCTATCAATAATTACCTTAAATGTAAATGGGTTGAATGCCCCAACCAAAAGACAAAGACTGGCTGAATGGATACAAAAACAAGACCCCTATATATGCTGTCTACAAGAGACCCACCTCAAAACAAGGGACACATACAGACTAAAAGTGAAGGGCTCGAAAAAAATATTTCATGCAAATGGAGACCAAAAGAAAGCAGGAGTCGCAATACTCATATCAGAGAAAATAGAGTTTAAAATAAAGGCTGTGAAAAGAGACAAAGAAGGACACTACATAATGATCAAAGGATCAATCCAAGAAGAAGA